TTTTTAATGGCGATAAATATGCAAATATAATTTCAAATGTCAGAAAATGTGAAGTTCATATTTTTACTTTTGTTTTAAATTATCGGGTTTTAAACCTATTTTTCTATGTGATAGCCTTATTCCTGATTGAAATTCGTTGTAATAAAACATGCATGAATGTGGGCTTGGCTAAGATATGCAGTAGAAAGTATTTGAGATGTTATTTGGGTGTGTCACTTTTCGAAAGAATCTGACAAATAAGAAAACATATAAAACTTTTTAGAGGTATCGTATATTCTCTTTATTAACATGACGAAATAGCTTCATTTTTTTTCAAAAACATTTTTTTTTATTTTTTCAATACCATAATTATATTAATTTGTTAAGGTATGAAATAGTTTAAATACTTTTAAATGTTGTTTAAAAGTGTGTTTAGTACGCTTGCAAACAATCCTTAATTAACCCCAAAACATTATTTATCTCACGCCTATGTACATTTTGAAAAAATAAAACAAAACCATGCATCTTAATTACATTGTTTAATTTTATTTCACAATGAATTAAAGTTTCTTCCTTTCCATTTGTAACATATTCACCTTTTTGTTTTCTTGTAAAGCACTTTTATTCAACTTAGTATTCAAAATCAATAATAAAATGTTAAAAAAACATAAAATAAGACCCTGCTTTATTCAAGTTATGTTTTTTTTTCAATGTTTATCATTTTATAATTTTTAAAAATTTTAAAAACTTTGAATAAACTGAAATTTTACTTCCTAAGACGCACCCACATAATAACTGAAAATTCATTTATTTCAATAACAAAATAGATTTTCCAAAATAGTAACAGGATAAAAACATATTAACATGTATGAAAATAAATGTAAAATTTGAAAACATATATTTATAATCTGCATGTTTTTGTGCTGGCAAACTTGAATAGTATTATTAAAGACTATTTTTTAAAACATTGGCTTGTCTTTCGACAAATATCTGTACTCTCATCTCATAAAGAAGTATGAAATTTAACTCATTGCTTCGAATTAAAATTATTTATCAAAATAAAGTTAACGAAATATGAAATTTAAATCATTACTTAGAATTACGATTACTTCGCGAAAAAAAGGTATTGGTAACATTTATTTTGACATGGTTTGACCTCCCGTGATAACCTTGTCTCTTTATTGAAATGATTAAATACTATTTTTATCAAATATTAGCTTGTCTTTCAATCAATATTCATTGTTTCGTCTCTTAACGATATATGAAATTCAACTCTTTTCTTAGAAGTAAAAGTATTTCGCAAAAAAAAGTTAAAAATATTAATATCAATTACGTTTATTTTTAAAAGCTTTGACAAATCCTATTTCTTTATTAATATTATTAGGACATTTTTTTAAAAAAAATTACCTTGTCTTTCAATTAATATTAATTATTCATCTTACAACGAAGTATGAAATTTAACTCGTAACTTAGAATTAAAATTACTCAGCGAAAAAGACATCGAAAACGTTTAATTTGAAATGCAAACTTAGCTTAGCAGAAAAAAACATCGTAAATTAACTTGACAAATTTTACTAAGCAAAAAAAGACATCGAAAACGTTTATTTTGAAATGCTTTGACAACTCCCATCTCGTTATCAACATTATTAACACTGAATTTTTATTAAAAATTAACTTGTCTTTCAGCCAATATTTATTATTTCGCCTTATAACGAAGTATGAAATTTAACTTGTTACTTAGAATTAAAGTTGCTTATCAAAAAAGACATCGATAACATTTATTTTGAAAAGCTTTGACAACTCCCATATCTTTATCAACATTATTAAAGACAGATTTTTTATTAAAAATAAGCTTGTCTTTCAACCAATATTTATTATTTCTTCTTATAAAGAAGTATAAAATTTAACTTGTTATTTAGAATTAACATTATTTTGCAAAAAAGACATCGATAACATTTATTTTGAAATGCTTTGACAACTCCCATATCTTTATAAACATTATTAAAGACTGATTTTTTATTAAAACTGAGCTGGTCTTTCAATCAATATTTTTGCTTTCGATGTAAATAATAATTTGAAAAGATATGTAAAGGGTACTTACCCCTTTCTTAGGTTCTTTTGACGCCGGGGTCTGTAAAAGATTTCTTAACAAAATAAACGATCTGGAAAAACATAGATTGTATATATTTATTAACCCAAGTAAATTACAGAAAAAAAGATATGCCACTAGATGACAACTGACATGCTGCCTTTTTTAACAGTGTGAAGGCAACTAGCATGCGTTAGGAAAGTTCTGTTTTTGGTGGTTGCATTTCCGTCAAATATTATTTCGTCTTATAACGAAGCATGAAATTTAACTTGTTACTTAGAATTAAAATTAGCTTGTCTTTCAGTCAATATTTATTATTTCGTCTTATAACGAAGTATGAAATTTAACTCGTTACTTAGAATTAAAATTACTTAGCAAAAAAGACATGGATAACATTTATTTTGAAATACTTTGACAACTCGCATCTCTTTATCTGAAATAAGATGGAATTAACTGAATCCCCTGAGTATGGGCTGCAAACATTTAAGAAAGCCCTCTCACTCAAGTTCGTCCCAGAAGACCTTTCTTAACAATGAGGATTGGCACTAAATACTCCGTTCTCGCTTAAAGAATTAGCTTTATTCACCCCTATTGCTTGATTTTTTTTCTATACTTGATTGCGCCTATTACGGCACTCTTTTCACTTAGTTCCGGACAGATTTCTTTTTTTTTTTCTTTCCATTTTAACGAAAAACTACGTTTGCTTAATGTTTACCTTAGAGAATATAAAAATGATAAAAGAACAAGGAATTCAACTAGAAAATTTTAATCATAAAGAAATAAGGCTTTTGTTGATGAATGCCTAATTCCTGATTACGCATTATTGCACTAATAAATTTCATTCGGTATAATATAAATGTGATATAGTTGTAAATTACTGTAATAATGTGGGCACATGAATAATTCAATTAAAAATACAAATGTTTTTATTGAGTATTATACTTCAGCGGAAAAAAAACAGTTTTTATTTATCATAGCTTGAATAATATTTTAAATACAATAAATATAATTGAACTAAAAGTTAAATGTTACAAATTATATGACGGCTGAGGGAATAAAGCGTTCGCTTTCCAATGAGGCGAGCCGGTTTTGAATCCCAGCAATCGATACGAATTCCACATCCGTCTTGCACCACCCACAGTGCTTTTGTAAAATATCCTCAGTGGTAGACGGATCAGGGATTAGAGAAGCATTGCCGCCGGACTAACCCTGGGAGGTTTCACTGGTTTTCCTCTTCATGTAGCGCAAATGAGGGTTAGTTCCACCAAAAAGCCCTCAACGAAGGCAAATTCCTCTCAATACGTGATCCAGGAATTTCCTTGTCTTCTGGATTAGGTTCAAAACGGAGTTGAACATTAGTAGTCGTAAACCCAAAAAATTAGGTCGCCTGTTCAACGACGGTTATAAAATAGAGTTATTTGTAAAAGATGCTATTCATTTATACGTATTTAATTTTATATATTTTTGAAAGCTTAATTTTTAAAATAGACTCGAGAAAAATTCAAGGCAAATTTCAACTACAGTCAAATAATTTTTTTGTGATCTTGGAATCGACTATGTGCTTAAATATTAATTCATGTTATTCAAGTTTAAAATTTGATTTCTAATAACTTGATTTGAAAAACCTAACTCTCAATTTCTAATTTATTTCTCGCTAAATTTAATAAATTCTGCATACTTTTTACAATATTTTAAATTTTGAAGGCAAACAGATAAGAGTTGGTATTAAACATTGATGCCAAATAACGTCTGACAAAAAACAGTCTTGATCTTGTGTCTCACCAGGTAAATTACGTATTTTTTAATTTGCAATGTGGTACCTGTTTATATTATTATTAACATTTTTATTTGTCATTCAAAAAGAAATTGATTAATAATACAAAAATAGATTAACATACAATAAAGGAACACATTTAAATCATTTATTTATATTTCTACAATTTTTCAAAGATTCATTTAATTAACATAACCACTTTTATTTTCTGTCTTCAGGCATTTTCTTATTTGTTTCGGTTTCAGTATTTTTTTCAACTTTATTTTAATAATTTGTTTAAGTTAACACACTATATTTTCTAAGAAACATCCATTTTTATTCTTTTAAATTAAAAAATTTGACATTTTCGAAAATAAATGTCGTATGTAAAAATAAATGTACGTAATGTAAAAATAAATGAGTAAAATGATTCACACACACATGTATATATATATATATATATATATATATATATACATA